GTTTTTCTGCCGCTTACATCCACAAAAGCCTGGCAATTTGAAGGAGAAAATCTGGCTAATTATTCTGACCTCTAGACTGTTTAGTCAACAGGCTGATTCTGAAACCCCCCAGATTAGTGAAGTAGGAATTTGCAATTGTATCCCTTTGCTCTCATTCCCTTTAGTCGGCTGGATGCTGCGTTGAGCATTAGAGCAGTGCGGGTGGATTCTTTTTGCAGGATTTGTGTGCTAACTTATGAAACATAAGAACATAAAAAGGACTACAAATGAGAGGAGGTGAATTTAGCCTCTCCAGCCTTATTTGGGAGTTAGTAGTCAATTGGTGTGAGGATCTCATCCAGCTCCCACAACCCTTTGCGTAAAGAGTGGCCTCTTGGTTTTTGGGTTTAAATGCACTTCCATGTGGCTCCCACATGCTGCAGATAAATGGACTTGCTCAAGGAAACCGAAATAAAAAGGACAGTGGTGTTTTCCTATGCCCATTGAAACCACTGTGTGGATGTTCTCCAGATCTCTACTGGATTGCTACCGACCTCCTAGAGAATGAACTCTAAAGAGCTCTCCATTACCTGCAACCCCTTCCATTTTCAAAAGTACCAGTTACACAGACAGCCCTCACTCTTAACCATAAGTCTTTAAACTTAAGTCTTACTTACACGCAGCAGTGAGTGAAAGGTGAAGGTGGGCTAAAATTGATTGATAGAAGCAATCTTTATGAGATAACATATTGTTTAATATGCTCCTGGCACCCAAGATTTCAGATTCCAAAGTGTTTACCACATATATAAAACTCTAAAATGTTGCCATTACCTATATCTGTATTTGCCATGAGGCAGTGTGATACTTTATGATGGATTGCTTGACACTATTTTACGCAAACACTATTCCTGTAGTAGTTAATAAGTATTCATTTTAAGTAACTACTACTACCTTATACTTATATAGTGCTTTTCTGGACACTCCACTCAAAGCACTTTACAGGTATTGGGGACTCCCCTCCACCACCACCAATGAATAGCTTCCATCTGGTGATGCGATTGAAGCCAAAGTGCACCAGGACGCTCACCACACATCAGGTAAGTGAAGAGGAGAACAGGGTGAGAAAGACAATTCCTAGATGGTTATTATTAGGAGGCCCTGATTGGTAAAGGCCAGGGGGAAATTTGGCCATGGCATCAGGGTTGCACCCCAACCCTTTCTGAAAAATGCCCTTGGATTTTTAATGACATTGATTTTACATCTCATCCAAACAATGGCAGCTTTTATTACAGTATAGTGTCCCCATCACTTCATCCCTATCATTATCCATCACACTTTCAAAATGATATGTTTGAATGAGCGTGCGATATTTAGTGTTAATGATTTTAGGTATCCAATCAGCGAAGGGTCAGTCTGAAGTGCTGGTTGTTTGCAACTGTTCTATCCTGCTCTGTAAAAAAAGTGCAGAATGAAAACAATAACTTTCTATAATTTATAAAGCATACAGAGTTTCAAATGCATTATTAAGTTACAGAATATCAAAACCGCATTGACAAAAAAAAACGTTGTTTACATGATCAACAGTATTCAATTTGATCTTAGCAGCGTAGAAACAAACTTTTTAACACTGGATTGTTGTGTAAGATGAAATCAAAACTCCTTCAAAAATAATATGGAGGTAAATCATCTTCCATATTCGCCTATGACAGGTTTGTTAAACATGCATACAGTAAGGCTGTTACATCTGTCTATTGAAAAGTCTTTTTCATATCATTGGACTACTGACCATATCTACAGGATATCCCGGACTTATTTAGCCCTCATGCAGTTGAACAAAGTAGAGCTTGGGAAATCACAAAAGTATGATTCTCAGTCACCCCCAGTTAATACTCCCTATCAGCTTCATATTTTACTCCTTGGTAAAGTACAGGTTTTCCAAGTGGATTTATTATTGAAGTTGTTCAACTACAACTACAGCGTGATATTCAGGAGGGGAAAAATCTAATCATGATTAAAAGAAGAGAAGAAAATATAATTTAAGATCCTGCAGAGCAATTTCAAACCCCCGCTTGACCACAGCTACTGGATGACATATGAACAAATGCAGTGCACAGCTAAAAAGGCACAGTAAAGGGAAAGCCAAGATAATATGTATCAGGTAAGTTGGAGACAAAACACATCAAGTATTAAGTGCTGCCTTGATAGAGCAAGCCATACTTGAGCTGTGTTGAAAATCAAAGAGAGCTTCTCTGCATGTTCGAAGTAGATGCTGTATAACTATTATGAGCACTGACCATGTTGGGGTCTGGGGTCCCCTGCTATCGGGGGAGTTCAAGCCTGTTCTCACAGTGCAGCAAAAGGTTTCCTTAGTGACGTATTTCCCCTTCGTTTTCCTCCAGGTTGATAAATGCACAACAAAACCCGAACACATTCCATACCTTTGGATAAGGTTAATTAAAGGTTCTTGTCTTAATAACTATTGTAAAGTTTCTGGACCCTTTTTGTTTGACTTTTAGTACTTAACTATTTCACATGTAGCTAATTGTTTTCACAATTTAAAGTGAAATAATCCCATGAGCCCTTAACGTTGAACTTTTTTGAACTTCAGATTGAAGTTTTTGGAGAGTCTGTAGAAAACTATCGGGGAGACAAATTGTGTTTGGTGTAAACTGAAGTTGGAAGCCCAAATCCGTGGAGACAGTTGAGTCTAATTTGCTGTAGCATTATGACATGAAACAGTAGGCATGGTAGTGCAGTGGTTAGAAGTGCTGCTTTTTAGTATTGGAGCCCTGGGTTCAGTTCCTGGGATGCTGTGTGCGTGGAGCTTGTATGTTTTCCCCATGTTCACGAGTGTTTCCTCCAGATGTTCTGGTTCACTCCCATAGTCCAAAGTCATACTGGTAGGTGAATTGGCTTCTGGGAAAACTGGCCCTGTATGAGTGTGTGCGTGTCTGTCTATATGTGCCCTGCGATAGACTGGCATCCTGTCCAGAGGATCTCCTGCCTTGCGCCCATTTCTTGCCTGGTTAGGATCTGATTTCTCCCACAGTCCTGCTCTGGATACGCGGATTAGAAAATGGATGGATGAAGTGTTATGTGAATGTCTTTCTCTTTCTTCGATTCATATAGAAAAATGTGTGACAATGACATTTTCGGGTGGGAGGGGGGATGCAAGCAAAAGATAAAGAGGCCAGTCACTGAATGCCTTTGATTCATATCACAACCTCTGGATCAACCCTTTCATTACTTTGTGTGCTTAAGAGGGCATGCTGCAGTACATGGGTTTTTTGAGTGGAATTTTTCTTTTATTTTTAGCAGATTCAAAGCCATTTGAATTCATGTCCCTGTCGCCATTTTAAAATACCTCCTCTGCAAATCATGAATACTTCATGATGCCTTCGGAATGAGGGAGTATTACATTAATCAAATACGTATGTCAGCTTTACTAACCCATGCCTTCTTCACACAGACATAATTATTTGGATTTGAGATCTGACACGCTTGCAAGTAACCCAGGAAATCCACACTCTTCAACATAAGATCTATCTGCAGAGCAAAGTGGACAGTTTTCTCTCTTCTGAGAGAAAAAGAAAGCTTCACTGTCCAAATATAATAAAATTAACAGAGTGCCTTTCTGATTTGATGTTCACACTAAAGTGAGTCTTAGTAAACTACTACTAACTACATTAGAAATGTCAGGTATTGACATGCAGGATGACCCTTCTGTATGAAAACCTGGATTACTTTAAATGCTGTTTAAGAAGTTTAAGAAATCTAAGTCTGTTCTTGAGAAGGCGGCAAAACTTCATGCAACCCACATAAAAGTTTACGATACATATATATTTTTCAAGCACAGTAACGTGCAATAAAGCAGTTTTAAGTTAGTAAAAGCATGAGAAATAATGTAGCTGTAAGCACATCCATTACAGAAGTGGTACAGAAAAGCAAACTATAGACATCCACAAAATTACTCTGCGTCTTCACCATTGCAACTTTTTTATAAAGGCCAAAAAAATGGAAAAGGGTATGAGAGAAGGCCTTATTCCAGAAAATTTTCTGTCATTATAAAACAACTTAGTTCTAAGTGGCCCAGTTTATTTTTACCGTTCCTCCTTAATCAGTGCATTTCCATGGTGAAGGGCTGTTGTAAAAGAGAAACCAAAACCTCCATTGTCTGATTCTTTTCTTCTGGGATTTGTTGCATGTGTCACAAGTCTGTGTGCTGACATGCACTGCTTTCTCCTTTCCCAAATAATAAACTTGCAAAATTAAGGTAATTACAAAATACATTTGTTTCATGAAAGCATTGCACGTGACAATAGGTTTTAAATTAAAATCTCATTGGTTGTTAGTGACTATCATTCTTATTTTATAGTAAGAAAAGTGACAAGTTAGAAAAAAACAAACTGAAAGTTGACAGTTTAAATGTGTAGACTTTTAATTTCAAACCTGATTATGCATTAGAATACAGAGAACAGAAAACAAAAAAAACTCCAGAACCAATCTGACCAGCTCTGTGAAAGCACTTCATTTGTTTGTTTGTTTGTTTGTTTGTTTTTTTGCTCCAGCAGAAAGCTTTCACATGATTTCAAATTCATTGTGAAAATCAAAACTATCCCAAAAGAACTAAAAACAATCGTCGCTTAGGATAGAAACAATTCTATCCAAATCAGCACATTCAAGAGCATAAGTAACAGGGTAGCAGTTCAGGTTTGTTGTCTACAACCAAAGTGTTTTGTCACAAGTTAACAAACTTTGTGCAGTCAATCATCAATGAAGACTAGAAACAACAGGCTGGATAAAATCACCTCTGGGGTATAATGCGGACAATAAAAAAATGGACACAAATGAGCAAAGCAGTGATGACTCATTAAAGAATATTTTCTTGCATTGGTCTGATAGTATTGTATTTGTCTGAGTAATTATGTGGGAATAATAGGAGGAAGCATCCTGGGTAAGACACTGTATCAGCCCTTGTAGATACAATTACTCTCTGATGCCTAATATCATATCATACTCACCACTCATTGGCATTGCTGATGTCACACAGGCAGACTGTCTTTGTGCTGTAAAAAAGCAGGTCCTTGTTAAATACATTATAATCATCCTGTTAGGCTAGCTCAGGGTTATGTGTATGAGTGGCACCTACAGTCATAACTGCAGACTCAGATTTGAACCAGTAATCCAGTGTGATTTTTTTTGCAACTTCATTAAAAGAATGGCAAAACGCCTAACTGTGTCCCTGGCTTTGATCAGATACAAGTGTGAAGTGCTAGTGTGTGAGGAATGGATGTTCCATCTTCTGAATTTGGGCCTGACATCGATGTGCTTAAAAAGTCAGGCTCCATGAGGGGAGGCACATACTGTAAGATTAGATCCCTGATTACAGTGCATTCCTCTGCCACTTATACTCTCCTTCAGCTTGCTAAATCTTAAGCATACCGGTTTATGGGTACCTGGCTATTTAGGCATAATTTACATAATAAGAACTCTCTCCTTTAGAAGAGGAAACTTGTTCTGAGCCAGGTTGAGTCCTGTGGTCTAAACACTGCGGGTCTGAGTCTAGATCGTGAATTGGTGACTGTGACTGGGGATTTCCCAAGCAACATCACATCATTGACTGAGAGGCACCAATTTATGTGTTTGAGATGGATCTCAGTGATTCACCTTCAAACCTGAATGCATGTGCCTCAGAATTATGCAGTAATCGAAGTTGCGCGTTTAGTGCACACACACGAGACAAAGGCCACACTTCATCCTGTAAGAATGGGGTGTAGTGCAAGTTAAGGTTCTCAGGTTTGATGGACATAAAAAAGTAAATCGGTGTCTGAGAGTGTTTCGCTTCTAGAAACATTTACACATGAAAGGTTGCCATCTTCTAGCATTAAACTCTATTACTTCTTCAGAGCATGTTGGTGCAGCAGAGTTCTCCTCTGTTGGAGGAAGAACTGTGTGACCCCCACACTGGAGTGTGATTGTGACAGGGTTCAGATGGAGATGAGATGAGTTCGCAACTCATACATATAAAAAAGCAAGCAAAGATCAACAAGAAAACTTAAAGTTTTATTAAGGAACGTCTCTAACAACTGTCACGTGACAAATCAATGCCTGGTGTATGCAAGTAAATTCGATTTTCAAAGCTCATTTAAGAAAATAACATGAAGGAGTGGCAAAGGAACCATACTGTAGCTGGATGCATTTGTCTAAGTCCCTTTGCTAGGCTCACTTAACTAGCCAGTGACAGCTGGGATAAAGGCAGGAGATGAGAGGGGGGGGAGTGCTGAATCAGATCTAGGAAGTGGCACATCTACAGGTCTCTTCACCATTGTATTGTAGTTGAAGCTTCATGGGGGGAGTCTTTTTTTTTTTGGCCAAATGCCTTTCACTGCAGCTGTTCTATTTTGCTTTTGTTCCGTTTCATTAATATTTCTGAAATTATCTAAGAACACTCTGTAAATGGGAAATGTCTAGTCAACAAACCCTGCCAAGATCCAGGCTCTTTTACTGATATCAGAACATATACTGCTTACAGCAACAGTTTCTCTTTTTCTTCGAATTTTCTGTAGAGTGGATTTTAAATAGAAAAAAAACAACTAAGTACCTGCACCAAGTCAATATTCAAGTAATTAAAAATACATATCCTGCACTTTCTATCTCAGAACATACATTTTAAAACAAAGATTTTATGCCAAATGTGCATTAAAAACATAATTTGATATGTTTAAGAACACATTCTTGCCGGAACAGCAGTGTTGTGGTGTTCCAAGATTATTTCTACGGACTCCTGTCTCTTGTCATATGCATTTGTACCTCAACATTGGTCTATTCGCTCAAGTTCATCCACTCTTCAGATACAATGCCTTCAAAAGGTTTAGCATCGTCACTTCCAGATTTCCTATGTTTTTCTCTAGACCATCATTCTCCTATTTGAGACATAAAATTAGATTTCTCTCATCCAAATGACTCTCTTGAAAAACAGTTTCACGGTTTCGGGAGGCAATTTTGGTTAAAAGCTAATCTATGCTTCCAGTCGAATGAGCTAGTAAAGTGCTTCTTTCCAGTCACTTGACCATCAAATCTGTTCCCTTAACATCACGTTCTTAAGCCTGTTTTGCACAAAATATGAAACACCCACTGATTTTTTATTTACCCTGTGTGTAATTGCTCTATCAAATCACTTTTCCTGAAGGTGTACAAAAGAAACCTCATATGTACATTTTTGTTCAAGAATTATATCCCTCATGGCGTTGCTGAAGCACTGAGTATAAACGACATATTGGTTGAAAACCAGATTAAGTCAGAATTTAAAATAATACAAATGTTCTCATCCAACACGTCAGTGGCACAACCCATCAAAGGCTCATATATAACGGGTATGAAGACAGTATATACAATAATCTGCAAAAGGACCTGCTCCACCAAAGAAGAACTGGGACATGCATTCTGATTAAGTCACTAGAACTGTTAGGACCGTGTTGCTTAAGGTTTCAATTCTTTCAGGTTAATCGGTTACATTTGAAGCAAAGCTATGCTTGAGCACTGCAATATGTTTTAATAGAGGTCTAGGCTCTAGGTTAACCCCATTACAGTTTCTAAAAGGCATAAGAAACATACCCATAAAAGCCAATTTAAATTAAACATAAAGTTTTATATGAAAAAAAAACTTTTAACTGAATGTGCCTGTCATTGAAGTTTTGCAGTAGCTGCAGCTCCCTCAAAAATATTGTATTTTTATAAAAAAAGTGTTTGTGAATTGGACCCAACAGCAGTGTTTGCCTATTCCACTGACTCTATTTTCAGTAAAAAATGCTATACTGTGAAAATCCAGCAGAGTGATGTAATCTTATTTCATTTTAAAGCCCAGTTCATTAACAAAATACGCCATTAGCTCTTCAGTAATGGCACATTTTTCCATATACTGTACGTGTACAATTATTACAGTAACACTTATACAGATTTAGCATCCTCTCACACTTTCCTGTACAGAGTTGTGTTAATGATTTACATCTAGCAGGAGGCTGCATAGTTATGGAAAAGGGCAAAAGTATTTTTTTTTCGGTTAAACAGAAGAATGTAAGAAAGACAACAAATAAAAAGCAGCCATTTGACAGATAGTGCCTACTAGATTAATTATATCTAATTGATCACAGGATCTCATCCAACTAAAGTGGCTTCAGACACCCACAATTCTTTGTGTAAAGAAGTGCTCCATATTGTTCCTATACACATTACCTCTTAATTTACATCTGTGAGCCAAAGTCCTACTTTCACTGCTGATGCTTAAATAGTCCATTGGATTAAATTTGAATAACTTTCAGGATTTTTGAATACATCTATCAAGTCTCCTCAATCTCCTCAGATTTTAATAGATGAGATTAAGTTCCTTTAAACTGTGCCATATGCAGTGCCTTTTAAACAAGGAGTTGGTCCAGTGGCTCTTTCTTGATCTCTTAGGGAGAGAAATATTTTCTGTAATGTGGTGATAAGAATTGTAAACAACATTCTAATCTCAATATAGCAGACTCTGTTCAGAGAAACATTGCAATACAGAAAAAAAAAATCCTTACTGTATATATAGGTCAACTCATCCTTATTTAGCAAAGCTGTACTGTTGCAAAGATAAATTTCCTCAAACAGCTTGCTGTTCAGAAGTATACATGCTGTTCTTAAGGATGCTAAACAACCGACTTTCATGTGTATTAATTTGGAGAGATTTCCATTTGCTACACCTCCTGTTTCAGACCTCTGTGGTATTTCCTACAAAGTGTGCCTTACTGTGAGCATTGACTGCGGGCAGGTGTGATCTCAGGGAAAACGTCAAAGATCATAGCATGGGTTCAGACTCCCAGCCGAGAGGGCTACCGGAACACATCCAAACCAAACAACTTTGCATAGTCCCTTGCAGCTGGGCTGGAAAGGGTTTCCCTGCCTGCGGAGGTCTGTGTCATGTGTATTCCAAAGCCCGGTATGAAGGTTCCTCTAGGAAACGATTCGTCCCATAGTGGCTTCAGTGTTGCCTGTGTACTTTGTACAGAGACAAGCCTGAATGCCTAAAGGAATAATTATCATACACAAATACATTTTTTTTTAAAAAAAGGGGACTGTTTCAGTAGCTGCTATTGATGTTCCTGGCAGACTGTGTGGTGAGGCATTTAAACCTTAATGTTGCTGTTAGAGCAGATGAATCATTAATGCCGTGAAATCACAGGAACTGGGATTCTTGCAGTTGGGAAGTGAGGAGCTGGGCATGCCTCTGTGGTCTTCTTCAGATGCATATACCTGCTATATCTATCAAGCAATTATCATTTATTTATGGTAACAGTTTTCACTGCAATCGGAAACCATATGCTCAGCCTTCACTTTACAATTTAACATTCTTTACTTTGCAGACAGCAGGCTAAAGAAAATAAGTCTCTAGTCTGCAGGATTCTCCTAACACCAGGAGATGCTGACAGGTCTTTTACTTGCAACTGAACAAAAAGCGTCCCTCAAGCGGCCCTCAAAAGATACAGTAATGCCACTTCCTCCTGTTGTCCAAATTCTTACGTCTTGTTACATAAACACCTAGTTTTGGAAACACTGGTTTTATCTCAGCTCAGGGTGACTCCCGCACTCAACTGGGAGAATGAAGAAAGGCCGATGGCCCTCTCAATAACTTTTTCAACACATTGCAAGCTCAGGATGCATTACAGGATGCTAAGAGCTGTTTGGAGGTGTGAACCATCTATCAGTGACACCACAGTAAGCCACAGGCAACCAGACGCTGTGGTAGCTTAGCTGTTGTTTTGCCAAGAGCCAAGACAGTTCTGGCTGACTAATCCTAACTCCCTTTTCCAAGGCATTGAGCTATGCAGGGATGCTGGGGTATGGAACACACTACCCTGCCACATTGTTGAAGCCAATACCCTGGCTTCCTCCAAGAAACAGCTGGATGAGATCTTTGGTTCACTTAGCAAATCAACAACCAAACGGTTGACAGGCCCATTGGACTCCTCTCGCTTGTAACCTTCCTCATGGTTTTCATCGTGTATCACCATTTCGAGAATCCTAGTCTCTGTTGGCTGGT